AGTGCTTTAGAAAGCGTGAATTTTATTTGATGTAACATCGATTTAGTTAATGTAATACGTACTTGAAAAATATATGTATTACTTAACTTTCAATGATCATCCACTTTTATTATATTTCTTATCAGTTTTAAATAACCAATGTATTTAATTCATTCCAATAGAAATTAATTATTTTTCATCTTTTTATCTTGTAATATTCACTAGTCTGATCAACATAACTCATCAGAAAGTAATTAGTTTCAAGAATTATGTATATTTTTCTGAAAGATTAACAACCCTTCATCTGATGACAGTTATTGATTTTGTTTTTCAATTTTACTGAGTTTTCACCTAATTATATTCCATTAACTCTCAGTTTTGATGAGAATAGAAAAACGTATAGAGAAACTATTCAGTTCATTGGAAAAGTCCAAATTTGTTTGTTTTACAAACGGTCAGACTTTTTGACTGTAAGGTATTCGGACACTTTTCGGTTCCTCAAACTGAAAAACACATTGTTCAATTCTATATCACAACCCAATGGTTGTTTTTCGAGTGGTCACCAGTTCATCAAAGAAAATCTTCATTAAAACCCTATTCTGCATAAGTGACTAATACACTATGAAACCTATGATTTTTCATATGATTATATAACTACAAGTTGGAAAAGAAAATAATTTAAAATAATTAAAATTAATAACTTTCATACTGATTTCTTCCTTTACTAAAATTTTATTTTTTATATCCAGCTGTATAAATAATCAACAAGTTTGCTTTAATTATAAAACTTAATTACTGTAACTACAGTAATACACTGAAATACAAAAGGTATTAAAGAGTAGTTTTGCTATGAATATGTTGCAGTCTATCGATCTAACAGCTGATGGGAATTCAGAAGAAAAAAAATAGTCGTCCAGCATAAACTACTTTTCCCTACATTGATTTCTTAAATCATAAATTTTTTTAAAAATATTTTTTAAGTCATTCTTTTATTATTTTAAAGTAGCTTTTATGGGAAAAAAAGTAAAACCTGTTTATTTTACTGTTTATTGAGTTAGACACACGAAAGCACGTATTCCATAAAATCAGGTTACTTTAATTCAAGTTTTTATTTATTTGTATTTTGTATGTAGATTTAGTTCGAAAGTACCATTAAGATTCTTATGCCTAATAGTTCGTTCGATGACTTTTCTTATTAATTCGTAATTCATGAAGAACCGTCATTTGGGGATATGAGATCTGTAGGTCTATCTAGTGTGCTGTGATGAGGGAATTCCATCCAAAACAAAAGACCTGTCCAATTCTCTTTAACTCTTAATTGTTCATCAGCTAATTTGTTGATTCGTCGTGATAATCATTTTTGAATCAAACTTATTCTTACAAACAACTTGACAAAATATCCTTAATCCATTTGCATTCTTTTACTTCAGAATACAACCAAGCTACGGATTAGAAGTTTTTTCACTGGGAATTATCTACTCATCACACAACAACTTTCTTATAACAACAACAAATTAGTCTAGTGTTTCACTAGATAAAACTGATTTGTTTCGTGATAAGTAGTAAGTTTTCGAAATTATCAATTATGTAAAACCAATCATGAGAAATATTGATTGCAAATTGTTTAAATTACTTTAAAATATGATACTGCTTATAGTATGTAGTCCGCAGATGGCCTGACCATCCTATCCCATACACACCAACAAATACAGATGAAGACAATCACTGTAGCAACACACTCTGTATCAATAGGCCTCAACATATACAAGCAATAGTGCAACATCCTCAAATACAACACGAAGAACACCAACTCAATCACAATTAGTGGAGAAACTCTGGAAGGATTGGAAACCTTCACTCACACGGTCAGCATCATCAACGAACGAGGAGGATCTGATGCAGACATGGAGGCAAGGATTGGCAAAACAAAGACAGTATTCCTACAGTTAAAGAACATATAGAACTCAAAACAACTGTATGCAAGTCAATATCAAAGTCACAATCTTCAATATGAACGTCAAGACAGTTCTATTGTGCTGAGCTGAAACTTGGAGAACAACTACAACTATCATAAAAGAAGCACAGGTATTTCTAAACAATTATCTACACAAGATAATCAATGTCCGTTGACCGGATACCATCAACAACAACCTACTGTGATAGAGAACAAACCAACTTGCATTTGAAGAGGAAATTATGAAAATATGTTGAGAGTGGAGAGGACATACATTGAAGAAATCGTCGAACTGCATTATGAGGCAAGCGCCAACATGGGATCGTGTGGGGAAACGGTAAAGCAGAAGACCGAATCACTCACTGCGTTGAGAATTGTAAGTAGACATGAAGAGGATGAATAGCAACTGAAGAGAACTGGGAAGAATTGCTAAGGACTTAGTTCGATAGAGAACTGTGATAGGCGCGTTATGCTCTTCCACGAGTAATAACGGGAGCAAATAAGTAAGTTATAGTATGTAGTGTTATTTCATTTCACATTTATCTATGAATAAAGACCAGTGAATAATATTGATTTAAACTATCAATTCAACTATCAAATTAGAGATGTTAATTGGGTTTGAATTTTTAAACTAACACAGTTTTACTGTTTTTGTTACGAAAAGAGTTTAACAAGTAATTCTGTATTAAAATTTAATGTGATTTATATGTAACAGTTATCAGTTTGTAAATCGAAATAATCCTTTTCATCAAAGTTTTTTTTAAAGAAATTAGGTGATTGATTTTATCCGGAAAAAATAAGTGTTTTAATATTATTATGCTTTGAGAATTAAAATATTAAGAATGTGATGTGTAAAACTGAAGTTCCTATTTCTTGTTTCTCCATAACAAAGTTAATTTATAGTCATAAATGAAACATAATTATCAGAAGGGTTTTTTGTGGAGATTTAGTATTTTCATAGTTGAAAGCGTGAGTCAATTGAAGTTAGACCACCGGGGAAAACCTGGAAGCATTGGACAGCCGTTTCGTCCTATTGTGTAACTCCTCAGCAGCACGCATGGTGTTTATGTCTAACTACAACCAATCCACGAAGTTGAGCAACCGTTCACCATGGGATGCCGGCTCAGTGGTCTATCGGTTAGGTGCTCTGGCGCGAGATTGGTAGGTCCTGGGTTCGAATCTCGCTAGGTCGTGGGTGCGCACTGCTGAGGAGTACCACAATAGGACGAAACGGCCGTCCAGTGCTTCCAGGTTTTCCCTGGTGGTCTGACTTCAATTGACTCACGCTTTCAACTATGAAAACATAATTGTTTAGGTAATAAAATTTGAATTATTCAAATCGTTTATTGAAATTTATTTATTTACTTATCTAACAAATGACTTCAATTTAAACTAAATCATTTATTCCAACCAATCACTAAGGTATGGAACATAATTATTTATCAAAATGAAGATGTTTATACCAAGAATTTAAATGGTTCAATATTCTACCATTAATTTATATGTTCACTATTCAACTGAATCACATTGATTAGTGTCTTTGATTCTAAGAAGTTTAGTAGAAATAACATTCACTTGAAAACATTGTGCCAAATAAGGAATATCATTATTTCCACTGTAAAAAATCATTGAGATATTTCATAGAAATCAACAATAAAATAGATATTACGTAATATACTTTTTCGTATACACCTAATAAATACTTTAGAATTCTTACAGAAAAACAGAAATACATAGAATTCTTTATTATTTATGTAAAACTGCTGTAAATTGATGTTGAATAAATTTTATTTGAATTTCTTGTCAAATTTTACGTCATTGAGCACAGTTTTTTTATGGTTCTCACACACGTATTCATATATTATGATTCTTGTTATAAATCAACTCTTTTTACTTAGGATATAAGACTTTGTAAAACTACTCAGCTGAGGATCGTGGGACGAATACAATAAGCGGATTTGTTTTCCATTGATCATCAGTGTTTTGATGTTAAGCGATATTATTTTGCTAAAGCTAATTACATTTCAGAGAGGTTAGTTCATTCAGTAAAAGTAGATAAGTAGATACGTAGTGTGATATTATGAATGTTTTCTCTCAAGAAACACATCAGTTATTATGATTTTAACATGAGGAATTGTAAGAATTTACAAAAATCTTACTGATTAATTGATAAATTGATGTAATTTTGTGGTGTAAATCTGAAAATTGAAAAACGTCGATTAAACGCAATTAAAAATATCTATTGTATAAAATGAATTACTATACTTATTTTAATAACAATAATAAATACAATTTTAAATGCAAAATCAAAGAACAAGAAGAAGAAGAAAAAGAGGATGAAGAAGAGGAAGAATACAAAGATCACAATCATTTCATGAATAGATAAAGAAAGAACATACAATTCTTATATAACACGGTAGATGAAACAGATAATAGAATATAAATAAACAAATAAATTTATATATACAAACAAAGAATGGTCAATATGATTAATGAAAAAAGCAAACAGAAATCGGAAAATATACATGAGAATTTCTTTTTTTATTTCTTTAAACATACACAAAGGTTGTTTGCATACAATTTAGTATAACAAGTTATTAGAACATAGGTATATTAAAAGAAAAATGGCAATCCCAACTCTTAATTAGAAATATGGAAATAAATTTATGTAGGGGAAAATCAAAAAAGTAGTGATAGAGAACATGAAATCATAAGGAAAAAATAAAAGAAGTAAAAAATAAAGAAACACGAAATATTGGGTGGTTACAAAAAGACTGTGAAACAAGGGGAGAGTAAGAGTTACTAAGTCTTTTTAGAATAAATCAAATTTTATCATTTTAATTATACATTATTAATACTCATGATTAAGACAATTAGTAACCTTAGCAGTTATAACAGCATTTTTAGTAAAACAGTCAATGAAACAATAAAATTATATACTTTATAAACTTAGTTACTAAGATATTAGTAAAAACAAGAAAAAATTAAGTTGAATATTTAAGTATTAAACAATAATATTAATAATAATTAAAAATAAATTGTTTTAATTCTGTTATTTGTTTTTTTTCTCACAGCAGTTCAAATGAGTAGACGAATAAATTTGTATAAAAGAAATTTTTGTTCATAATTATGATAACGATTATCAGTTACCATGATCTGCATTCTACCTTCCATAATTATGGTAAACTCTTTTCAACGATATAACAAAATCAGTAGTTGTAGAAGTGGCAGCAGTAGTCTTGACTGTCTGTATATCTAAATAATTATCATATTAAAGAGGGGCTGTTGTAAGATATGAATAGGTGTAATTGAGATGAGATAACTAAAGTGTAGATAAATGATTTGAAGTGATCAAATCGATGAATACTTTGTTAATTCAATTAGAAGAATGGTAGTTAAAAAAAGGCATAACACTTCTTTTTCACTCATTCACTCACTCTCTCCCTCTCTCTATACAGATATCAGTCAGAAACATAAAAATAATAAGATTTTGTGTAAAAAATAACTAAACATTGTGTAAATAAGAATCATAAAACGTTTATTATTACTATTGTAACAATATCAATATTATAGTAAATACCAATAAGTTATCTGATTTATTAAAATAGATCATATATTACTAAATTACTGAATTCTTTTTTACAAGGAATATAAAAACATAAAGAGAGAGTGAGAGAGAAAGATATAAAGTGAGGAAGAATGATTTATTTTTCATTGATCCCATTTCAAATTACATTGTCATTGCGATTTCAACAAACTAAACACAAAAAAGAAAATAATAAAATCATTCATTGTAAACAATTAATAATCAAATATTAAATGGTCAAGTTAAAGAAGAAAAAAAGTAAATTAAAACAAATCACAAATGTAATACTGAACAAAACAATATACTATTCATTGTGTATTGTTTATTTGAAAGTCTACTGAAATCGTTAATTTATAATTCATTATAGACATGTGGAAAATAGATTTGGTAGACGATTTTATTAAAATGTTGAATGTTTAGTCAACTGCAAAATTATGTAACATATGTAACAATAAAAAAATGGTTAATATCAATTAGTAGTTATATTACACTTGGTGGCTAACAGTGAAATAAATTTTGCCAGTTAGTTGTTAAGTTCCAATAATGGTTAAAATCATAATCATGTACTTGTTGTAATTTCTTATGTAGTGTAACGTTACGTAGTGAAATGTTGCATCTTGACTATACTAATTGATTTTAGATCACAATTCTGAGAGTTCTAACATAGTCATTTTATTAACTAGTACGTCTGTTCAGAAGACTTAGAAAAGTGGTAATTAAACAGACACTTTTATCTTTTTAAGAAATTTCAAGATTTTGTGAACCCGTTCATGTATCAGTAAAAACTGGACATTTATGTAGGCGTTAGACTTTTCAGTTACACGTTTAATCCCAAGCATTATTGACTGTTATAACTCACTTCTTACAAGATTACTTCAAAACTTATCAATATACCTTGTATGATGTAGATAAAAAACTTGAAAGTATAACTTTCAATTTTAAAGAGTCACTTGTCTTACTTTACTAGGAGTAGTTTTTGAACCATACACTAGAACAGAGAGAAATGACAAAATTTCAATTACTGAAAACAGTCAAGTAAATCATGTAGGCTATTAAAAGGCAAGTGGATTTTCCATATTAGCACCAACGTTTCACAATGCGTGGAAAAGTTTACCAACTAAATGAAATGCTCCCATTTTTATAAATATTTGGAAGATCAATATTTTATTTTACTTTCTATAAACTACAAAGCTTAACCTCTTTGCTTCCATATCACAACTACTAGCTACAAAACTAGCTAAGTTTCTCCCATTTTATATAATTTGAAAGGCAATACATTTATTAAACTGAAACGTTAGTTTCATTTCTTAATAATCAACACTCCAATCTTGTATATTTAAGTACAATTTGCAAAAATAGATGAAGTTGCAGATTGATATCAGCTGCTTAAGTATTGCAAACTAGGTACCATTGAGCATATTTTTCGTTCGTTAGTGACTCATTATCCGACATACATCAGGATCCAATTTGAAATATATTCAGGTCTGATAGTTACCTAGTTTTCAAAACTTAAGTCATTTCAACAGATAACACGCCTACTTTTAAAACTACTTATATTGCACATTATAGACTTTTAACAGACATTTTCTTTCACAAACACTTTATTAAATTGAAATAGCAAACGTATCACATAAAGCACTTGTATATCAAAAAAATATTCTATTTTCGTTTTTTTGATTTGCTCATTTTTGAAGATGGGTTTTTGAAATTCTGTGATTTCAGAAACTCAATATACGGTGATTAGATGTTCGTGTATTCTACTTGTTTCATCGCACATTGAGGTTTATATTGTCGAATAACTTGTATCCCTTGAAGTAAATTTACTTATAATAATTCTGGGGTTTAATTGTTAAGAAAATGTATACAATAAATAAAACAGAAAATAGGAAAAGCTAAAAACCTACTTGTTCCAAGGGCAGAACAGCTCGTCCACCATGATCGAAATTCTTAAAAATTGCTAAAAACACATAATTCAAATAAAAAGAGAAATACAAATCAATAAATAAAGAAAAACCTTTTTTTATAAACCAAGTACATGAAAATCATTAATCTTATCACAAATTCCATCTAAATTTGAACGAATATAATTTTCTTAAAAAAACAAAATTATTTTCCTAAAAATATTATCGATTAAAATTAAAATTAATCATTAAGACATTATGTACGCAACATCCTTAACAGTGACATAATTTTACCCATATGTAATAGGATTAAAAAAAATTAAAAAATCAATCTTTATTATAAAAACTTCATTGCTTAGAATAGTTTATTATAAGAAAAGAAATTATCACTGAAAGGATTTAATACTTTTCCTCTTTTAATAGTTAAAATGTTTAGTGGATGGATAAGTGAATTTATTTTAAATTTAGAGAAAGAATAGAAACTTATAGATTTCTAACAAAAATCTATTTTGTTTTATTGCACAATTTCTTAATCAAAAAAAGTCTTGAAATGTGTCATGAAGATATACATCAGAAAGTATAGTATAGCAACTATCCTACAGCCGATTTTGAGTATGGTCAATTTTGATTAAGCTTTTTTTATTAACTTAACAGACAATGTCATTTGGATAATAACAATTTGCAAATTCTTTGTTCTGTTATTACCACTAGAGCATATGACACTCTAGCCAAAATGTTGATTGCTTAACTATCATTCGATGACTCATACTCCTCCCCATATATGTATGCATGAAAACTCTATTATCAGCCTTTGTTTTGTTTTGCTGTGCCCTTATTAAATTTGACTATAAATTGCCTATGTAATTGTTTGCTGATCGCTCGCTGATATTAGCTCATGTGCTTGTAACCTTCTGGCCTGAGTCATTTGTCAATAAATTGTAGTTACTGTTTCACCTTGCCTTCTGATTTTATGCACCGTTAGGATTGGTATTATAACGGTTATCGAGCTGATCGATTAACGAAACACGGCACTACAGTATGTCTGAAATTATATCAACTTATCAATTGTAATTTAATAATTCTGAATGAAACATTTTGTATAACCTTCATTGACTTATAGTAATTAAATGAAGCAGTAACGACTTATATGGTAAATTATACAACTATCAAATCAATTTTCCATGTATTCGATCATTCTTATTTTATTGTCTATCATAAATTGGTTGAGCAAATATTATTAGTAAATCTTATACTGATGGCTATTTTTATGAACCTCGACTAGGTTATTCAGTTAACTAAGGGTTCATTTACAAGTAAACTTGTTATGAGGAAAAAATGTTTGAGATAGAGATACGAGTCACTTTCTATTTTAACTCCAATTTAATTTATTACCTTCCAAAATGAATGAAATATTTGTGTAAATAGGTATCATTACCAAGTTTTGATTTGATAATTTTGAATAAATTGAGCATTGGGTGGATTGTTATAAATAAATTAATATATTTGTAATATCCCAATAAGTAGAAAAATTAGATTAGATAGATAGATCAATTGATCTATTCAGACCTGTTTTTTGATTGATCACCTAATATTCTTGGATTGTTCCGGTGTACTATTTAAACTTGGATTAATGTTAATTTGGTTATTTATTCTCTGAAGAAGTGGCTTACACTAAGTCACGAAACGTCAGAAAATCTAATTTTTCTACTCATTGGGATATTACAAATATATTTATTTATTTATTTGTGTAAATCCTGTTTCTTAACGGACAAATAAATGAAGAGTTGGGTTAGTAATAATAATAATAGTAGCACTCACCAACGGCTTTTGTTATAAGTGACATAGCGCTGATAAAATGCGGATAATCAAGACGCCAATCCACATTAACAAAACGGTTCACAAGTTTAGAAAATAGTGTGTGTGGAAGAGTATAACCTAGTTGAGAGAACAAGCAACAATATGACAAATAATCAAGATTTGTTATATCTCTCAAAATAATACAATGTTTTGCAAATATACTGTTAAGAGTGAAAGATACATCACTCTTGATAAGAAGTGGTAGGTAAAAGAGGAGCTGGTTGAGGAAAAGAATAAAAACAGCCAGGTCAAGATAAGACATAGGTCTATGAAGTTATTGGTTGCTAGTCAGAACCATGTATAGCGATTCTGAATTAACGATCGCAAAAACTATGGTTAAAAACAATACATGAAAAATTTTATTACTAAAATAATTGGTTCTGTGTGCCTGAAATTACTTTCATTGAATAATAGAAATATGGAAACTATTTTTCAGCAAATCAGGTAAATTTAAAGACTTAGTGATATTAGTAACTGGAAAATTCGCAGTCTTAACATTTTTTTCAGTTTATCTAATGATGCGAACAGACTAAAGGATATGTTGAGAAATAAAATTGTTAAGTAATTAATAATGAACTGTTTTAGGCCATAGAATTTACCAATAGGGAATATGAGTAGTTAGGTAGCACCAAAGTCGCTTTTCCGAATTTTCTAAACGATAACAATGATAACTTACAGAATCAATTAACTAAAATGACTTATCTGTAGAAACTGTTGACAAGTATCAAACTAAAAATATTAGATTTTCTTAAATGAACATACTCTCAGTTGTACAAATAACTCAATTACTATTAGTCTTACCACGAATTACTACCAGTATTATTACTAAAAATATATACTAAAAAATAATAAAACCGTATAAAAAGAGTAATTTACCCGCTTGTTCAACAATAATTCGAAAATCCAAACTTGTTACATGAGCAGTTCTCTGTGGATCAAAACTTGCAAACAAACGAGACCATGATCGTAGAATATCCCAGACTCGTCGAAAATCTGATTCACACAAACGTCCTGTACCGTCACGATCTAGAAGGGCTACCAGAGATCGACAAGCATCTGTACTAACCTGATCAAATTTTTAACAAAATTTCAAAGAATTATTGTACAGGAAACCTGACATAAATACTGAGTAAATTTTGTAAACATTTCAAATCATGCACTATAAATAATGATAATCTTATTAAAACAGCAAATGAGTTTAATCTACCAGTTAAAATTTTATGGGCAAACTTGTTAAACGTTTGAGCAAAAATTAGTATCAACAAATTACACATGTATTCTGTCTTACGTGTAAAACAATAGAATAATGCTGGACGAATAGTTTTATTACTTTCATTTAATGTCAACATCTAATGATGTTTGAGGTAACCTAAAACAACAGATCTAGGATGTCGAATAAATAGAATCATCAGTTACCTTATATTTTAAAATTACAACTGGTTATTCTCAGTGTTAAGTTGTTGTAAATTGAAATTATATACATCTGAATTGCTAACAACTAGGAGATTCGTCTAATACAGAGTGGGATCTATGTGAACTGCATAGACCGGACGACTAACGCATAACATTTAAACGATAGTCCTCCGAGCACTGAATGATAGAGAAGAGAATATTGGAAAAATGTAACATACATAAGTGCCTTTCCCTATCTAAAATTGAATGGTTTTCGCACTTCTCAAATAAATCAAAGAGGATACAAAATCTTCATATTGGTAAGGGAAGCACGATTCAGTGATCTATCAGTAATATAGGAAACTCTGTCAATTACAACCAAAACGAAACTTATTCTCAAAACGTTCAACAATAGTTTTCAAATTGATATTACTTAAGTGGAAAGTTTTTAATTCATACTGACATATGAAATGGAAGATTACATACCATACTGTATGGTGCTCGATGATCATCTCTCAAAAGGCAATTAAGTATTGGCTCCAACTGAAATGCATCAACAGCCATCGATTCACCTGAAGCTTCATAAAATAATCGTCTAAGACGTGGCTGAAATAATTCATAGTTTGGATCAGGCTCTGGTCCAGTTGCAGCTAGACCACTAAGTTCTACACGCTCTAATGTAGATCTGAAAACAATAAAAAAAAATGTTTTATTCTGGTAGATAATATATTAGATAATGTGTTAGATTTCAATGTTAACACCTCATAAATCATCATAGGTATTAAATATTAATCCCTAATGTTGCTCGAACTCTATCATTCAAATGCATAATATAATCATTAAGATAAGTAAATCAACATTAAATCACAACTGGAATCGGTTATGAGAAATTCAATTCCTTTTATGAATCTAATATAATGTTGTATTCATCTTAGGTTATTTAAATGGCTTACGTGGTTTTATTATTGGTTTTAGCGATAAGTTAACTCTTGTGAATATATATATATATATATACATAGGCGTTCTGATTAAATATCTGGGGTACCTGTTTCTGCCCTCTAGATATTTCAACAAGTTATGTGACTTTCGTTTGCTTCAACAGCCCATTATGTCAATTAATTGTTCAACCTATTCAGTTAAGAAAGAGCACAATCAAAGACATTGCGATTTCTGATAATATACATCCATAAGAAAGTACATTGTTCAGATGTCGATTTCGAAACTGCTAACGTCTAACTGGCGATGGCTCAATATTTATCGTCAGGACAGATCAGGAAATAAGAAAAGGAAACTTGTCGAAATATTTTGCTCTGAAAATTCTATATTGTACCAAAAATATAATATTGAATACAGCTAATAATAATAATTTTTATTATACACATTTTCCGATTATCTATGTCCAACGCTATTAGTTAATTATTAGAGCTAATAGAATAAGGAAATAATTACTTCTCTAAATTTGATATTATACTTGAATCATCTTCACTAGGACTATTTAATGTTGCATTTACAAATTTACATTTAGTTCCTAATTATAGACTAGTGTTCCATTTAATATTTGACGTAAAAGTTACTGGCTTCTTAAAAATCACATGAAAAAAAATTTGTTATACACAAAGAGCTACTTACTCGCAAATTCTATCCGGATTGTCAAATAATAAACGTAATAAAAATTCACCTGGTTGATCAGCTGCATATGTACATGGAACAAGAAGATAATGACCTGGTGTTAATTTTAACCGTTTAACAACTTCTCTAGAATCGAAGAAAAAATCTACACTAGCTATATGATGATTAGTTTCAAAAAACCCACGTGGCATTGGTGGATTAGCTCCAGCTGGAAGCTGATTATTATTGAAACAGCAGAAAATAAGAATAAAAACGATAGAAATAACAATCAGTGAATAGATTCATTCCATTTATTTTCTGTCATAATTAAAACGTATACAATGTTCATTGTGTATACTAAAATAGGATACTTAGATAAAAATTAAGATCCTAATTTCTATTATAGATTATGAAATTTATTGCATCATACAATTTTCCACTAAGTATTGACTAGCAGCCAGTGGGCTTGTGGGTTGAATTTTAATCTGTTAGCACTCTTTTCTCAAATCTGTAGCTAATTTAATTAACATCATTATTCGTTTGGTTTGGTATGAAAAATACTCGACTTCTTCGAGACATTACTTTGTTAACTGATTTACTTTATCAAACCAAATAAATAAGTAAAATTTTGAAGTTTTCAAATATTGAACATACAATAATGACAATAGTATACAAACTTCACAAAATTATGGTACAGTTAATCAATAGTGATATCATCCATCTGATAGATGAAGAAACTAATTATCTTCATTATTTCACTCTTAAATATCCACTAAACAGGAAATTCGAAACGTCATCTAGTCAATGACAAACGCGAGGACAATGAGTAATATCATTCACTTTGCTATAACACCATACAAAACTATCTAATCCAAAACAAACATCACATATTAAAAAAATTGTGTAGTTTATATGAATTTAGTTGATTTTTCGAACTAAGATTAAAATATATAATATGAGTTAAATCGTTATTTTTAGTTCATAAACATGAATGAATCAGAATTCTTTATATGAACATATTACAAACAATGAAATTGTCAACTGGAATGAAATCATTTATTAGTTGGCGGAAATAGGATTTCCATAAAATTCTCGAAATACACAAAAAATTGTTTCTCAACATTATTTTCTAAAATTGATAACAATGAAACAAATAAAGTAGCTTTGTACTACTGAATTTAATGGTAAACTTATTATCTTACACGTTTGAATATCTAATTCAGTTTTCTTAAAACTTATGTTAGAAGAAAATAAATTTCTGACGTTGAATAGCTTCGGTACTGAATCTTCAGGAAATGTAGTAGCTTTCATTGCAGAAATACTATAACTTTTAATAACATTATATATATATATATATATATATATATATATATATATATATATATACTTATTAGATTAGAATACATATACATTAAAAGTTAACCTCATAGATTTCATATACTCAAATTCAACAGGAAAAAGGCGTTGCTAATTTTCTACTATATAGAGGTCATATAAATAAATTACTTTATTTTTAACGGAAGCAAGGTAATTCCTATATTAGCTAATGAAGAATATATAAATAAATATTTACAACATAAGGGTAGAGTTCATATGAAAAAAATTGCTTTATAATGTACATACATAAAGGGAACATTGGTACTTATAGGGTAATTTTCCTGTGTCAATTCAATGATAATTGACTTCTTTTTTATCATCTGTAGTTACATAAGAATACATATTTAAATAAAATTATTACTTGATCTCAATTTTATTTTGCCGCGGTTAAGTTTAAAATCACGGTCTAGCGACTATAGAAAAGAACTTGGACATTTCTCAATAAAACGATTTAATCACATAATATGGTAATAAATGATCTTGTTTCTTTTGTCAATTTCCTCAAAATAGTTTGATACTCAGAATAAATGACAGAATAAAAATGGAACTGTTTTATACTATTCCTGTGCTAGAAATGTGAAACAAATAACAGGTATTGAAAGATTTAATAGACGACCGGTTTCAAAGGCAACAGTCTGGATTTTGTAAGGATCAATAGTGCACAGACCAAATCACAATACTACTGATCCCTATTGAACAATCAATTGAATAAAAGTCGTCACCAGACATCAACTTCATTGACTATGAGAGGACAGTATGGATAAGAGAATCATATGGAACCTTCTTCTTCGACAATCTGGAGTTAGTAGCAGAGAACATTGTCATTATCATCCGAAATTTATACGATGGACTACACTGCAAAGGGGTGTATGAAGGACAGCTGGCAGACGCATTCCAAGTGAAGATCGGAATCAGAGATGTTTACACACTCACTTCTTTTCTGTTTTTGTGATTGACTGGATTATGATGACCTCCACATCTGAGGAGAAACACAGAATACAATGGACAGCTTACATGCAACTAGACGATTTGGACTGCATAGATGGCCTGATCTACTATCCCATACACAAAAACAAATACAGATGAAAATAATCAGTGCAGTAGCACACTCTGTATCAGTAGACCTCGACATGCATAAGGGAAAGTGCAACATCCTCAAATACAAGATGGAGAGGATATACATTGAAGAAATCGTCGAACTGCATCATGAGGCAAGCGTAACATGTAATCTTGTAGGGAAACGGTGAAGTGGAAGATCAAAGCACTCACTGAGTTAAGAATTGTAAGTAGATATGAAAAGGATGAATAGCAACTGGAGACAACTGGGAAGAATTGCTAAGGACTGAGTTCGATGGAGGATGGTGAAGGGTGGTTTATGCTCCTTCTCGAGGAGTCACAGGCTTATGTAACTAAGTTCACTACCGACTAGCTTTCAAATGGATTTTTTTGACATTCTAGTCAATAATCATAATCATTGAATCGCTGGTGAGGTAGTTATCGAGCAATAGGGTTGGGTGTTTTAATATTACTTAACTGAAGTTACAAATATCGACCACTCGATCTCAACTCAGTGTGTACAACGCTCAGTCCAGAACCTAGAAGACCTTGGTTCGACTCAATGTGGAACATTTCATGTATTCTATTTGGTAGTTCCGAACTAGATTCGAAAATGTTTCTTGTGGCTTCCGAGAATTCCGATAATCCTGATCTCACTTAGTCACGAGACCTAATTTAAATGGAAGTGAAACAGATTTTAAAAGCTTAACAGAAAATGTATAGTTAGATCAGTTCATTAACCTATTGTGCTGATAACAAAAAACGATATGTTGCATACTTATATTTCATTTGTATAAAGTACTTAAACAACTTTCATTTTATATAAAATAGGGTAGTAAGCTATGAAATCCGGGATATCAATTTCATCCTGTCAGATAGATGTCCCTGAAGCATAGCGTTCATGGTCAATATAAAACATTAAAAAGTACTTCTTTCGTCAAACATCGAACGCGTTAACCACTGAACTACTGAGTCCAGATAGTTGCTGGCTCATGCAACAGGTATATTATTTATACAATTACTTAAAGAAATCATAAGAAAGACAACTAATATGCGATCAATCAAACGACAAATAACTTTAAGTGTTATATATGATAAGGAATAAAATTGTACGTATAACGGTAATAATGTCTTCTGACAGGAATCGAGGAATTTTTAGAAGAAAGAGCTGGTATAATCTCGTAGTCAATGAATTTTTATGCGACTTTTCTATTCTTGTTTTTGTAAATTGATATCTAGTGGTTTTGTCGAATCACAACTGTTCACATTCTATATAGTAAGATAAACTAGTAACTAGTGAAGTCGAAACAAAACGTAACTTATCCACGAAAGGATGAAATGCTTAGAATACTGTAAAAATCTTATATTTTTAATTCTATGATTAAAGTTCATACATTCGGTTGCCAAGATTCCACTAGTGACACAAAATCTATAATCTTGAAAAAAATGATGCTTATTCTTTCTTTTTTAATCAAGCTCTGTTTCAAGGTTTTATCAACTTGTTTGTTTTACAATATAAATTACAGACAATACAATACATATAGCTTTTACAACTATGTCAAGAACGATTAAAATGTTTTAGTTCCTACATATTACCCAAGACTCGTATAACTCATAGAGTTGTTGGCAACCGACATCTGACTCACCAGGTCAAGAACAGATTACCGAAATTCTACTATCGTAGATCACATCTAATTGTCATAATATTCAGTTAACTTGATAATATTTTGCCCCAGAAATTGTTAAAATGACAAATTATTTTGTTTTATCGTTGAAGAAAAACTTATTAGTAATACACTAAAAGTCCATACGCATTTGATATCAGAACTTTCCCATGATTTCATTGGAAAGATGATTAGCTCAAAGTAAAATTGATTACCCACAGTATCATGATACGATTATTTATATATTTAGAATTTTTAGTCTTTCATGTAAACGAACGTTGCTGAATGCATTATTTAAAGAAACAAATTAGACTTAATTCCTTGGCATCTATTGGAAAATATATTTTTAGTTGTTTCTCCATGTAATTTCCATTTGCTACCAAAAGACTGCCTCTTTTTGAATAAGAGATTTGGTGAGTAGATTTAAGGTCAAAGTGGGCAAGTTTAACGATCACATTACAAACATGTATCAACTCTAGTTACTGTGCTGTAAGTCGAGCTCAACATCCAACGATCAAACAAAATGTGGGATTAGAACTTATCTATGAGTATTTTTGTGAATATCAACTGATTATTAGCTCAACGGATTGTACCGATCCATGCAGTACTTAGTTGTTAACTCGATGTTTAGCCAGAGGTACACAGGTCAAAGTCGTGTTTTATCTATTTTGGTTTGAGTATTCTGTAATTAGTCACTTGGCTCGACAGAATGTTATTAATTAGGGATTTGGGATATAAGAAGAAATAGCATAAAATATCTACTTCTTAGTAAGTGTAATCATAATGTATTTTGATTCGAATCTTATCTGCTTTACTATTTCATTCACAAGTAATCAATGTCTACTTTAACAACTCTTGAAGATCATTTTTAGTCCGTTTGGTTTTAAAAAAAAACTGATGAATTTATAAGATCTTAGATTATTACCCTAGTTCACCAGCCGCCTTTTTAATTCATTGACCGAGCGCTTATCTGTGTGGCTCTACAGAACACATTAATAATAATAATAACTTCATATGTTTATAGTAATTTTCTCAATAAACTATCTACATACAACAAAAACTAAGTAAATACTATTTACTTCACTTATCGTAAAGAATTATATAAAGATATGTTCGCAAATGCAACATGAATAGCGGAAACTACGCAAGTACATCATTGGTTGTCAACAGAAATTAGATGCATAAATCTATACACATATTAATAAACTCGCAAATCTATGTATTTGGAGAACAAAGCAATAAAGGAAGCTTCACAATCTTAAAGCTGATGTAAAACAACACATACTGTGACTGCATATATAATAAACTATTTATAAAGAATATAATTAAGTGTTAGGGGTTTGAATCTTTGAGTGGTCGGTGTTAAGAATTGTAAGGGATCAGTCTCTTTTGGCATATGAGCATTCTGAGAGGATTGCCTCGACATTTCCATCAGCCATAAATATTTTTAAGTTGAGTCGGAGTACAGTTTAAAACACTGAAAACAACAATCATTTGTTTTTAACACATGACATTAATACTTTCAACGTAATGATGGTACAGAGGGCCAGCATATGCAAACAAAATCTATTTTTTTATTTCACAAGAAGCACTTACATATATTAGGAAACGTCTGTCAATAAACACATACAGAAAACACAAGTGAAGTATTTTGAGTCTAGAATGGTTGACCTTTAAAACAGATATCTAAATGCTTAGAAAAAATTTTGTTCATTTAACATAAGCGATACTAAAGCTCGTCAAAAAAATGCTATAAAAATGTCTCAAATGTTAGGTTGTGTAAATACATAACTTGATGTTTGGAAAGATGAACATAAGTTATATTTTCCCTTAAATGTTTGAGCAAAATTATATTAGTAATCGAAAAATTTAAACAACGTACCCGATATAAAACAAATCCAATAGATGCAAGTCGAGGAGCACGATGACGTAGACGACGACGATCAGCTTGCATTAGAGCAATGACGGTTGTAGCGAACCCATCAGGATCATTTGGATCCGGTGAATTAATTACCAGTCGAAACTGAGGATTTGCCCAGTGACTTGCACGGATATATGGTCGACCGCCACATGACACACCTCGAAGCCATCGACCACGTAAGTGAACTGATGGGAAATTATGTAAGGAATGATAAGCACTAGAAGATTTAGAAATCACTGGAGGTGGCTCTGTTAGGTGACAAATATCCAAATAGTCGAAATTGGCAATAAAATCTTCAAGTGACATCCTGGAAAATTGAAATGTACCGGCACAAATAGACGGATAATTATGAATTCAACACGAATAAAATTAAACGTATACGGTACATTATCACTACAAATTTTGGTCAGCTTTAAAAAAATTTGTTTGGTGTAATGGTAAATCTCACTGAAAAATAAATTAGTTTGGTTAACATGTAAAGGTGACTAACAATCCTTTCACATTGACGAAACTCGAGTTATATTTTCACCACCAGGAATAGTTGGTTAACGTTCACTAACGATTTCAATATAGACAAGGACATTATACATAGATAGTGCTGAAATATACCTTAAATCTTAACTGTAAAGTCTTAAAATCGATTAAATTAAATTATGCTACTGAATACCGTTAAAAAGTTATAATTACGAAGTATATTTCTATATGTAATATTTATCGGTTTTCAAAACCGAAAAAAGTGAATTATAAATTACCGTTGGAATTAGTATGTAAAATGTCATCAAAACAATGTAAAATCATGCTTTATTTTGCACGTTAACCTTTGTATATTAATCCAATTCAAAATGGAAAGCTCATTAAAAACAAATTATCATAAATGTATTACCAAAACTCTTCTTGAGCTTTCACCAAGCCAACTTTTAAACGGTCTTGTGGTGGAAGACTAAGCCATTCTGTTGAACCCTCTGACCACGCACCTGTCCAGTCCACACGAACTGAAGGCCATAAATTTCTTAAACGGACTAAACGAAGTAAACGACTTCCTGATGCATCCGTCAGTCGAAGCTTCCGACAATCTGTTAAACCAAATGCTTGACCAGGTACAAATCCAACCGGTATAACAAAACCTGGACCAGGTACTCCTTTAGTCTGATTTCAATTAAAATAATTTAATGAACAAGGCAAATATTTAATTAATAAAAAGAAAACGCCAGTGGAAATTTTTAAAAAATCGCTACACAACAAGCAAAATTATCTTCCATATAAAGGTCTTATTGGTAAGAAAGCCTATGGAGATGAGCTGTATATTATAGCAACCAAATGTACACCCAGGACATTAACAGTTAATCGAGTTTACAGTTATATCGTGAAATGACATGATAGGTTGATTCAAGACCTTGTTTGGGTTCATACAAAGCAAGACACTAATATGAGCATTACAGACATTGTAAACTTATTTGTCACATTATAGGTATCCACGTACAGTTAATTCTAACCTTTTATACATGTAACCATGCCATATGTTTTTTATCTATGTCCGGTCGTGTATATTGCTTTCGTCTATTTGAGCTATATAGGCTGGCACAAAATTAAACAAACGATTTGATGCCAACTATATCCAGATCCTTGCATGGTTGATGGTTATTATGTGGATGCATGAAATATATTTTTCTAGCTATGTTTCTAATTTAATTTTTAAATACCACCGATGCACAATACAACTAGCCAGAGTTTTTACATTCGAGATTAAAAATGGACTATATTTTATCTTCATTTGAAGACGGAAAATAGGTTACGAAATATACAAAAGGAATGTACAGAAAATATATCCGATCGATCTTCAAATTTTTTTTCGAAACTTCAAACCAATAAAGAGGCAGTAGCTCGCGTTTGTGTACACAGTCGTAAAAATCCAATACAGGATGCAGTAATTGTTCATCAATCCCTGGCTCTCCAGATTGTATACATTCGTAATAAAACTATCTTAGGATAACTAAATTAACTATGACTTGAGTTTTGTGAAATTTAAGTGACAGTAAAGTAACGAGACACTCCCCATCAGTAAAAATAATAGTTGATGACTTGAAGTAAAAGAAGTAGAACAAAATTAGAAAACAAATAATTATGTTTCTTCTATTCAAAGCAGTTAGGGAAATATTAAATAAAATTTAGTAAAACTTTAGTCAGATATTTACAAAGATTTGTTTGCTTTAAAATAGTTTTACTAAAATAAGATGGGAAATCATTAAAAATCCCCAGGTAAGAAAGCACTTGTAACAATAATAAACGCTAAAAAGATCATTTGTAGACCAATTAACATCGTTCCATGCAACGAACACAATATCGTATTCAGCCATGAGGGTCGAATAAGTTAGTTCATAGTTTACTATTTGAATCGGTTCGCGTTAATGAAGTTAATCGAGTTCCGATTTCGTTGCTTAAGCAGATTACAGCTTTTAAATAATTCTCTTTCAAAATAAGTCACTGAATGTTACCAGAGCATTATTTAATAAGATAGTTCTAAAGACTTGCATAATCTGAATTAAAATATTGATAACATACGGTCTAAGATTATTTTATTTTCCATGACTCTTTAACTAAGGAAGGTTTAAGATAAATAATAACTCAAAAACTTCCTTTATTATTGTTTATGCAACTCTTAAAATTTATCTACAACTGTTTCGCTATCAATGTAAACTAGGTTCAATCAAGCACGTTTCTGTAATATCAAACAATGAATTGTTGGTTTTATGGCTGTGATCGAATTACCACAGAAAGATTTAACAAAGTGATAGTTTTGCAATTTCATTTTGAATCAAGTAGAAAATATCCCATATTAAGTGGTTTATTTAATCAGACTCACAACTGTGATTAATATTAGCCTATTCAAACGACTAACACTTTACACATTTCTTGGTTGACAATAAACATAGGTTTCAAAAGCTTTTGGTTGACGAAAAATCATTTTCCTTACTAGTCTTGTCATCGTCTTTTATCATCAGTACATAATTGCCTTAATCGCTTGTTCCCAACAGCGGGTTACTCAGTAATAATACATACCACAATGCTTAATATTTAGTACTCGTTACATGTTACTAACCACGTTTACTATAGAGTAATATTTAGCTACACGATTTGATGTTTCAGTGTACTTTTTTAGTGTTAAGCAGTTATAAGCCGACAACTGAAAATACTAGATCGAGTTTTCTTATTGTCTAACACTAGTCAGCTAAGCAGAATTTAAGATGACGGAATCTATGCACCACAAAGATTAGAATTCTTATCATTCGTTAATGTAATTATAGATGTTATGACTGCGGTTTTTTTGGATTAATTAACTTGTTCTACTCATATCTCTGTTCAGTATATTATTAGGTTCAACGTATTGTTTATTTAAATATCTAAAAACAAATTATTTTTGCCTAATTGAGATTAAATCTCTATTGTGAAATCATTGGAAAAAACGTTTGTTGTTGTAAAATGTAGTTTTTCAACGCGGAAGTTTTTGATTTAAATTCATTTCAAATGTTATTGAATATACATTTATAATAATCGATTCAATAGTTGAAATACAATGGCACCCTATATTTCTTTCTACTTATTAACCTTCTTTTGGTTAACAGAGCCTAAAAAGATATACATATGTTAGAGTGAATAAATAAGTGAAAATTCACGGCTCATTTAAACCTTTTTTAAAACTGATTATTTTTGTTTTTGTAAACGAGTTAATCGACTAGTACTCAGCAAAAATGTTATCCAGTGTTAAAATAACTGTTCCTTTTAATGAAACGTATGAACTTATGTATGTGCTTTTACATCATTTAGTAATATATTTCTATAAATTAACTTATTGTTATCAATATTTCTACAGTCAATCAAAGATTACAAATCAAATATCTGAGAACACTAGAGATTTGCTAAAACAACACAAAACCTACGGGTAATTGACGAAATGGAGTAAATCAATCCTAGAATCTATAACCCACATTAGTAAGGTATGAGAGAGAGAAGTAAAAATAAGGAAATTACTTAAGAGTAAAATCTATTAAGTGGTTGTCTAAGGAAATGCTAAAATTTTAATTACAAGAAAGAAAGCAAATTAAAAAACCTTTATACGAGCTGTAATTAAACTTCGACGATCAAATGATTTTATTAGTATATCGTCTAAATCGGCTGGAGGTTGAAGTCCGTGGTCTTCTGCCCCTGGAAGTGTATATGATTCTGTTAAACCACCAGTCAGATCATCCATTGCATCTCCGACAAGTCCAACATTCAGAGCTTCATATGACCCATTTAATCTGAAATTATTTGAAATTTTTCCAAAATAAATTTCGATGATAAAAAAATGACGTCAACTGAAAACTAATCAACTTAGTTAAGTAAAACGGATCAAGGTTTAAAACGAGTCACTGACACTAGTTATTTGAACATATCACGACCCTATTTCTACTGTTTCCCCGCTTGTTGAGAGCGTTAGTCTTATGGCTTCTGGAGACTTTTGACTTTCGCTATGAGGCATAATGATTCTTCACTATGAATGTCCTTCTCCTTCCACATTTCTTGAATTAGTGTACAGGGAACGAAACTGAGAAACTCAAATCTCGTTAAATAGTATTATTTTCAAGAACCATAAATAAAAACTCTACCAACAACCGTGTGTTATCTATTTTCATGTATATTGTCAACTACTCTGTAATATAGCATCATCAACTAGAAAAAAAAGAAACTAGTGAGTACTTATCAGTAACTTCATTATTTTGTAATTACTAGTTTGTATTACTTTAAAATAGCTGTCTTTTTTACAGACTGTAAGGATTGAGTTTTCACAAGAATTATTAATAAACAACGCTATTAACCTAGATATTTGCATCTGCAATCATAAAGCACCTTGGAATTTTCATAATAATTTATAAATAATTGTAGATAAAGCAATAAATAATCGAATTTACCAGAATTTCGTATATTCAAAAATACCCAAACAATGAGCGGATTACTGAACAGAAATATTTAACTAACTTTGCGTAAGCTTTCTCCAGTAATGTTGGCCAAAATTCTGTTGAACGTCCAGAATGTACAAACAATGGTTGACCACCAGATTTAACTGGAAGACGATCATCAATATAAACTTCTTCCCAACGCCCAAAACGCCAGAATCGAAAGGCAAATATGCCTGCATACCATTCTACTCGAAACGACTGTCCAGTAGGAATAGTACGACTAAGAAGACTCGGTTGGCTGGCTATAGCAGCCAATGCAGCAACCACCCAACAATCTCCTATAAATTTAAAACAAAAACTGTTTAGTATTATGAATTGTGTGACTCGGTGAAATAGACTAAACAACCAGCTATACAAGTATAGATATATGTTGTTTATCAAAAAATACCATAACACAAATATCTAGAAAAAGGACTGCGTTTAATTACAATGAGTGGTAGAAGTGAAAATGGGAACTTAGAACGAAACCCATTACAGTTGGAAACCAGAATTTCCATTTGGTAGTAGGTCTAATGAAATATCTATCAAAACCGTAGAAAACGTTCAGTTATTATCATAAGCAGAGTCACTGGGGTTACTCGATAATTATATATATGTTCAAGACCCTTGTATTACTTACATAGTTTCCCATAAATTGGCTCATGAACGTGATCTCTAATAAAATTTCTCCATGATTTGTTGTATTCACTGATAATTATAGAGTGATTTAAGTTATTTGCACACTCTTATTTAATAGCGACGTATAACTTTAAAGTTTGTTTACGACACTAAAGTCTAATTTAAATAAAAAATAAAAATAGAACCTAAAGTTGATAACACTATAAATATTACTTTTAATCAACTGTTTCTATTTGGTTGCTGCTGATTATTTGACTCCTTACCTTTATAAATACACTTTTGCGATTACCACTGTCATGCATTCTTTTGCTAATTATATTGGACTTTTGCTCGTCTTTTATTGGGTAATTTTTTATTACCTTAAAAGTATTTTCTGATAATTAAATAATCTTTTCGAAAAATTCTCTTCAGGTTCTACAATTATATATCCATATCAATAATCCGAAAAAATGGCCAAGTTAAAGGCAAAGTACATCGTTTATTGCATGTAAATTTAGGAATGTCAAATCAAATAGAATAAAATTGTTATTGTTGATATGACTCATATAGAATGTTAACTTGAATCTGTATATACGTAAAGTGAAAATTTAAGATCTGTGATCAGAATAAATATGGGTCAGATAGGGTGAGAGAGATATGATAGTGCAATTACAATTCGATCATGTGGGAGACTAAATGTGTGAAAAATTAGTGAGACGTAATAAGGAGGGATCAATGCGATGTGAATGAATCATGTTTAGGGGGGATTAATAATGATATTTAACCAATAATAATAATAATAATAATCAAATACGAAGATTTGTAAATAAAGATAATATCATTATTAATCCCCCCTAAACATGATTCATTCACATCGCATTGATCCCTCCTTATTACGTCTCACTAATTTTTCACACATTTAGTCTCCCACATGATCGAATTGTAATTGCACTATCATATCTCTCTCACCCTATCTGACCCATATTTATTCTGATCACAGATCTTAAATTTTCACTTTACGTATATACAGATTCAAGTTAACATTCTATATGAGTCATATCAACAATAACAATTTTATTCTATTTGATTTGACATTCCTAAATTTACATGCAATAAACGATGTACTTTGCCTTTAACTTGGCCATTTTTTCGGATTATTAATATGGATATATAATTGTAGAACCTGAAGAAAACTTATCGAAAAGAATATTCTTCGTTCAAACATTAGTCTTTTAATATGATTGGGATTTTTAAACAATTAAATAATCATTCGTAATTTCATCCATATTCAAGTCCTGTCATACCCAGGCAAATTGCTTGAATATCAGGGCTACCTGTCCCTGCCATCTAGATATTTCCTAGTTCGTTTTAACAGATTATTATGTCAATTAATTGCATAAACTATTCACTTGCATTTGTGAAAAGCTCACGACCTTTTTCTGTACAGGTTGCAAAAATTTACGATCTGCGACATCGTGATGGCTGTCAAAGGTAATTGAAAAGAATGAATATTATTCAGATGTCGACTTCTAAAATGCGAATATCACTCAGTGTTTATCGTCAATATCAACCAAGAAATAAGGAACAGAAACTTGCTGAAATACTTTGTGCTGAGAACTCCATATTGTACCAAAAATATGATATTGAATATAGCTAATAATAATAATGACTATTGTAATATTAAATATCGTGTACTTCTATATTAAGTTTTCGAATTTTAATAATTCTAAAAGTATATAACTAACCTAATTCTCCCTGTCTCAATTCGCCTAGTTTGATTCCACCTTCACCAATGAATTCTGGTGTTGATATCTTTCTTGGGGTTATACCCATGGAACCACCTCCGCTGTTCGCAGCAACTATCTCACTTGGACGCATCCAGACAATTTGACATGGTGGTCTTTGACTGTAATAAAGACTCGAGTCATCAGCTGGAAAAGCAGAATCACAAAACAAATGGCCTGAATTGAGAAGATCTTGACGAATTTTTTCAAATGAACTTGAAGGTCCACCGACTGGGCTGAAAACTGTACTTGGTCTGTTAACCATAGGGCTAGGACTTGCTCCTATATCAATTATACAGGAAAATATTGGGCGATATTTTACAAATGATCAAATAAAAATTATTGATACAAAGAAAACGGTAATTAATTCTTAAGTGATGACCTCCAAATGAGTATCTGGTAAAAAAGGTGAAAGAAATAAAATATTTTAGTATAAAAATCTTAACTTTTTTCGCCTCCCTCATATTTCAAAAATATGCTCAAACTAAGTTTAATTCATTGGGTTTATGGCACTAAAAAGTAGAATTTCTGATGCATACAGGTTACCATTTATTGCTCTTACAGTTGGAATATTGAATGGAATGAAATAGGGCAGTTTTACAGTTCATCAACGAAACAGTAACACTCATCACATGCTACATCAGAAAACTATCATAAATAATCAAGGTGAACCGCTCACATTTATTCTTGCGATATTTTAGCTTATTTTGAGTTAGATTTATATTGATACGCGATAAGTTTAATAAAACTTGACAATATTAGTACTATTAGCCTACAACTACACGACTTGTGAAAACGATTACGAACTTTGTTGAGTAGTATATAATCATCTAAGAATCAGTGATGGCGGTGTCACTAAATCATTTCATTATGAAACACATTTAAAAAACACGGTTGATACTGAAAAACTATCCGATCAAAGCACATTCCATGACTAAATAAATCAAATTGTTAGCAATGGCTCAAATAGCCTGAAGTTATTCTTACTTCTCGATATGTAACGATTAGAATAGTGATAGATAAAAGCATATCAAAGTAACAAATTTACCACGTGCAGTGATCATGGGTAAAGCAGGATCCCATCTAAGTGAACCTTGCCTTCTTTATTGAGTAATCTAAAATATGTGAATACCTTATTACAGTCAATGTTTTGTAAGAAGAACGTAACCCTTTTCTGACTTTGAAGGTGCAATGATGGGCAAGAGGCCCAAAGTTTTTTTGACAGGATACATTTACGTAATTTTATCTCTCAATGATATCTTTTTTAACTTTCTCCTGATGTGTGAATAGCATATGATTTTATATTATGAAGTAAACTTTTCTTCCTACAACTTTTAGATTGTGTTATATATTATCTTCTCTTAGAACGACCGAGTTTCTTTCCTAAAAAGCCATTGCAGGGGATGATTTTTATTGTCAAACATTCTCCAAATGACTTATTTTACTTCGACTAAATTAGTGATCATATGTGACTCATGATGAAAGTCAGCCTTGGAATATGTAGGTAGCCGAACTCCGTGATTATTACATTTTAGCGGAGGGCTGAGGCAGATTAAAGGGAAAATATTATTTTTTTGTGTCGGTTCATTTAACCAGTAGAGAAAATGTGATAACTTAGAAGATTAATGAGCATAAAATATGCTTTTCCAAACAACTTATGGCGTCAAAATAGAGCTTTATTTATAATCACAAAGAGGCTGAGCAATTGGTTGGTTTGTCTAATATACTTTGACTAGAACCAAGTATTGATGTCAACTTAGATTTGAAAATTTTGATTTCTACCCCGAGTAATAACATTCGATAAAAACAATAACCGTTCACTTTGGAAACGAAATTATGCGTGTATACATTTAAAAGTGGTTGAGTTTAACATTGTAGTTGTAAATCATGATCTTGTAAATAATACGCGACCTCAACTTATCAACTTCTAGTTTCAATTATTAGGTTGTTTTAGTTTGATTCTTTTGTTACTGTAAACTTTCATCGATCGTTTTAGTTACTAATTATACTCTCATCTTAAATATTAACGGGGTGTTCAATATGCTTGTCTTCTTGCTTTTTAACCTTTTAGGTTGTAACACACACTACTTTCCATGCTTCCTTAGCACAAAGCTTCTGGCTAGAGGTAAACTGATAAGTACGATCTAACATCATTGGTAATGATACATAAAGCAAGTGGAGTCAAAATAAGGGTCAAAAAGCCTGAAATATTTTATCAATAATCAGGTAACGTAGTAAAACCTTAAATACTGCAAATATAAAGGACTAGTGAGTTTACTCTAAGGCTTGTTGAAACTGAACCAGTTATCTGTACTTCTTAATAAATATATCTATGACATCAAAAGCAGAATGTGTTTTGGTTGTTTACATAAACATGGTTAAAAAATGTATAAAAATACTAATTAGCTTAACAAGTAAGAATACTTCTTTATATACAACGGCCAATACGTGCTATTATTTGACTGCATGAAAAATAAGATAAAGTTGTTGTCTTACTAAATTTGCGGAAACAGTATAAAAACAAAGTGGAATGCATCTAGGTTCACCATAAAACTCAAAGTAATATCTTACTTACTGCAATAATTATTTTCAGTGACTTTCGAGCTCAAAGGGCTCCTTTCAGGATCGAACAACATCGCCCTTGTGTTGTGTCTTGCTGTTCTCATGTCGTTGACATATTTTTGAGGCGTGTCTGGGGGATATCCTGTCTTATCCCTTAATTTATATTGCGAAGAGGAATTATGACCATATCCGAAAGCATTTCCACATATATTTAGGTTTTCCAACTTATTTTCCATAGAATAATTTGAAGTTGGGTTGGACTGCATTGAATACAACTAATAATAAGTCTAGTGCTAGCACGATTACGGAAATTCCAGATGAGATAACATCTTGTTCATCCCACCGCTAAAAGTTCATAAGGATAAAGTTAGTAGCTTGCATGATTCAAACAAATGCGACATCCTGAGCAGTTATTTTATATGAAATACCAAAAGATAAAGATACGGATGCTTTCAATAAATATGTGTGAGTTCATGAATGTTTGTCGCCTTAAAGTTTTTTATATTTACACAACTTATTCTAGAACATAAGTTTCATTGGTGTTAGGTAAACTGATGAAATCGAAATTTTCTCATATGCTGCGACCATTAATTGGCCGCCCCAATATTTGTGCAAGAAAGTATACATTGTATTTTTCATAGATGGCTAAGTACACAAGGTTTCACTATGGAGAGGGGAAGCTAACTGATCGTCTGGATGAACTCATTAGCTATGTAATAGACCGAAATCATATCAGCTAAACTCGTCTATGCTTAAATTAATACGCCAATGAAATATTTCATAAACAGTGAGCCGTTGAGATCCTCATCCAATACTTCAATTCGCCCATAAACTGGATGTTTCTCGATGGATTTCCAAGGTATATACATGAAATCCATAGCGATTGTTTTCTCAGGTAAACGGTCTAACAACCCATATGGTGGTTCATTGTCTAGATAAGTAGGGTTTGACCTAACAATACTTACGAAGTCGATGTTTCCTTGTTTTTCTATCACGGATTTCCTCGACATAACTTTGAAAGGAAATTTGAATGAAGTGCTGAACACCGTGAGTCAGTTTTGACAGCTGTTCGTATTCCCAAATATCTAATTGCAGGAATTCTGTCCACTGGTTGGAGTTTGAGTGTGATATAAGAGTAGCTTTCGGTTGACGGTGGAAGCGTTCTACCGTCTCATTAGCCTCAAGATCATACGCAGTGAGACGTATTCTATTGGATCCTATAACTTTATTTAAGTTGTTATATAGTTCATATTCAGTTTGTGCTGCTCTGCCCGTCGTTATTGTTATAGATGTGTCAAAAATGGTCACTCAGTTCTGCATAAAAACCTTGACCACCGTTTCGGAAACGATGTCCGTTATCGGTATAGCTAAAGGGAATCTCGTGAATCGATCTATACATGCAAACAAATAATTAAAACCATCTGAAAGTGGTAAAGGGCCTACTAGGTCGATATGCACATGAGCAAAACGCGCATCTGGTTGTGAGAAAACGTCTATGGGTGAATTTATATAACGATTAATCTTTGATCGTTGACACGCCGAACACCCTCTAACCCATTAGTGTACATCGTTTTGTAAATCCGGCCATACATATCTGGGATTGGTTAGTTTGGTCGAAGCTTTTGCGCCAAGATGAGGCAAAGAATGAAAGTTAATAAATATTGATCATCGCATGCTTTTGGGGACGAAAGGTCGATGGAAACTGCTTAAGTTTGAGACTAGCGTTGTTTGTTGGCAGTAGGTTTCGGAATTCTTGATCCTCTTATTGTTTGTCTCTCAACTGCTTTTTTTTCTATTAGAGATAATGCATCTGCTGCCCGGTTGTCTTGACCTTTGACATGTCGGATGTCACTTGTGAACTTTGATATACAGTCAAGGTGTCGGATTTCTCAGTGACTATTTGTCGGCTCTTGCCATTAGTGCATTGGTCAATGGTTTGTGATCTGTAAAACTATGAAGTCCCTGCATTCTAACATGGCTAGGTATATTTCACAAAGTTCCCGTCCGAAGGTAGAATACCTTGTCTCTGCTGGAGCGAGTCTTGTAGAGAAGAAAGCGATTGGTTTCCAGGCGTCTTTAACTAAGTGGCTAAGGAACCCTCTACTGCCTTGTTCGAAGCATCCGCCATCAAAGCAAGTGAGGAAAGAGAATTCGGATACATCAACTTAGATGCTTAAGACAGTTTATCTTTCAGCTGCTTATTAGCCCTGGTAGTCAGCTTAAATTCTTTTTGGTTTTCCTTTAAGAGAATCTGACAAATGTTGCGTTAGCTGTGCACAACCGGGTATCAATCTCCGATAAAAGCTAATTAAACCTAGAAGACTTCTAAGCTGTATTAGAGAACTAAGTATGCAGTATCATCTGATGCTGTCCATTTCTTCTTCGGTCGGTGTGACCCTACTGTTCGAACACCGAAAATACACTTACTTTGATGTATGTTCATTCCATTTTCATCTAGCCGTTTTAACACTGCTCTCATATGCTGTTCATGTGATTGTAAATCGGGACTAGCAATTAACAAATCGTCCATACATGACTGTGTAAATGAAATATCCCGAAGTATGTCATCCGTGAATCTTCGAAATGTTTGCGCAGCGGTTCTCAAGCTAAATCGCATGCGTAAAAACTTGAACAGAACAAAAGGAGCAGCAATAGCGGTCTTAGGGATATCTTCCACAGCTACTGGGAAATTGTGATGATAATAATAATACTTTTTTCTCGTATAACAGTTTGTTACACGAGGCATGCCGGTCTACAGGCAAGATCAAATTGTTACGGAAGTAACAATTTTCACTGTAGAAAGTTACTCAGCTGGGTTGATATTTTATAACATATGAATGTCAATGGATTTCGTAAGAAAGATGTTGTCAATATCACAACTGGCGCACTTAATGAAGGTAGCGTTGCAACATACTGCTGATGGTCGACAATAATTATATGCGAATTTGGGGGCTTTTAGAAGCTTCAACCTTATATCCATCTGGAAAATCTGAGGCTTTAATAACAGTGTTGAACGAAGTCCACCGCTCCATATCTGTCTTCAGTGGGGTATCTCCAGAGGGCTGAAAAAGGTGTAAGAAAAATGAAGGATGAAAAGCATTACTTACTTACTTATGCCTGTTAATCCCAATGGAACATAGGCCGCCGACCAGCATTCTCCAACCCACTCTGTCCTGGGCTTCCTTTTCTAGTTCTATCCAGTTCTTGTTTATTCTTCTCATGTCTGTCTCTATTTCTCGGCGTAATGTGTTCTTTGGTCTTCCTCTGCTCCTTTGACCTTCAGGATTCCATGTGAGGGCTTGTCTTGTGACGCAATTAGCTGATTTCCTCAAGGTGTGCTCAATCCACTTCCAGCGCTTCTTCCTGATTTCTTCCTCCGCTAAAATCTCGTTTGTTCTCTCCCACAGTAACTTATTGCTGATAGTGTCTGGCCATCGGATCCGAAGTATCTTGCGTAGACAGCTGTTGATGAACACTTGTATCTTCTGGATAATGGCTTTCGTAGTTCTCCACGTCTCCGCTCCATACAGTAGAACTGTCTTGACATTTGTATTGAAAATTCTAACCTTGGTGTTGGTTGACAATTGTCTTGAGCTTCAGATGTTTTTCAGTTGTAGGTATGCTGCTCTCGCTTTGCCGATCCTCGCCCTCATATCTGCATCTGATCCACCGTGTTCATCAATGATGCTGCCCAGATATGTAAAGGTTTTCACATCTTCGAAAGCTTCTCCATCAAGTGTAATTTGATTGGTGCATATTGTATTGTATCGGAGAGTCTTGCTTTTCTCTTTGCTTATATTGAGACCTACTGTTGCTGAGGCTGCTGCTACACTGGTCGTTTTCTCCTGCATTTGTTGTTTCGTTTGTGATAGAAGAGCCAGATCATCCGCGAAGTCTAGATCGTCAAGTTGCATCCTGCCTGTCCGCTGTATTCCGTGCTTTCCTCCAGATGTTGACGACTTCATGATCCAGTCGATCACCAGGAGAAAGAGAAAGGGTGAGAGTAAGCAACCTTGCCTAACACCGGTCTTTACTTCAAACGAATCGGTTAGTTGTCCTCCGTGGACGATTTGGCAGTTTAGTCCATCATAGGAGTTCGTATGATATTGACTATCTTCTCAGACACGCCGTAGTGTCGAAGAAGCTTCCATTGTGTCGTCCGGTCCACGCTATCAAATGCCTTCTCGTAGTCGGTGAAGTTGATGTACAGTGATGAATTGCATTCGATTGATTGTTCCACAATGATCCTCAGAGTTGCGATTTGATCTGTGCACGATCTATCCTTACGAAATCCACCCTGTTGATCTCGAAGTTGTGCGTCCACGGAATCCTTCATCCTGTTTAACAATACTCTGTTGAAGACTTTCCCTGGTATTGAGAGAAGAGTGATGCCCCTGTAGTTGTCGCACTTGCTCAGATCGCCTTTCTTTGGTATTTTGATCAGAAGTCCTTCTTTCCAGTCTGTTTGTACTTGTTCTTTATCCCAAATCTTACTGAAGAGGATGTGGAGTATCTTGGCAGTTGCTGTTACATTTGCTTTCAGTGCCTCTGCCGGGATGTTGTCTGGTCCCGCTGCTTTGCCACTCTTGATTTGTCTAATGGCCATGCTGATCTCTTCAATTGTTGGGGGGCCAACATCGATTGGGAGGTCCATGGGTGCTGCTTTGATGTTGGGTGGGTTCAGTGGAGCTGGTCGATTCAAGAGTTCCTTGAAGTGTTCTACCCACCTGTTTCGTTGTTCTTCAATGTCGGTGATTACTTTGCCTTCCTTGCTTTTCACTGGTCTTTCTGGCTTACGGTAATTTCCAGCAAGTTTCTTTGTTGTATCATACAATTGTCTCATGTTTCCTTCTCTTGCAGCCTTTTCCGCTGTCATCGCTAAATCTTCCACATATTTACGTCTGTCGGTTCTGATGCTCCTCTTCACTTGCTTGTTTGCCTCTGTGTATTCGGCTTGTGCCTTGGCTTTTTCTGCTCTGGTTCGGCTGATATTGATTGCTGCCTTCTTGTTCCTCCTTGCTTCAATCTTATCCAGTGTACCAACAGTGATCCATTCCTTGTGATGGTGCTTCTTTTGGCCCAGAACCTCTTGACACGTTGATGTGATTGCCTCCTTGATCCCTTTCCATTTGTTCTCCATGGTAGTTCCCTCTCTTTATTGAGTAGATCGTGAAAGGCCTGGAACTTATTGCTGAGAGCTATCCTAAATTTGTTGAGTTTGTCTGCATCTCGAAGAAAGGCCGTATTAAACTTTTGTGATGTTGTCCGCGCCGTTGTCCAGTGCTTCTTAAGTTTTAGTTTCATCTTGGCGACCAGCAAATGATGATCGGATGCTATATCAGCCCCTCTCCTGGT